AGTCCCAGCTACTCAGGAGGCTGAGGCAGGAGAATTGCTTGAACCCAGGAGACGGAGGTTGCGGTGAGCCGAGATTGTGCCATTGCACTCCAGCCTGGGTAACAAGAGCGACACTCTGTCTCAAAAAAAAAAAAAAGAAAGAAAAAAAAAAGAAAAAGAAACTACCGAGGGGTGGGGAGCACAGAGAAAAAAGAATAAATTTTATAAAATAAAGTAAAAAGAAACTACCGTTTCCCACACATGCAAGTTCTGAATTCTCAAGCACGGGAGCTGCATGAGCTGGCTCAGAGGCCCCAGGGTGACGCCAGCTGGGCATGCAGGGTGCAGAGGCCCCAGGGTGACTGCCAGCTGGGCATGCAGGGTGCAGAGGCCCCAGGGTGAGGCCAGCTGGGCATGCAGGGTGCAAGTCCTCCCCATCGCCTCCACTGGGCTGCCAGGGATCATTCTTTCTTTTGTTTGCCAGAGTCTTGCTTTGTCACCCAGGCTGGAGTGCAGTGGTGCAATTTCAGCTCACTGCCACCTCTGCCTCCCGGGTTCAAGCGATTCCTCTGCCTCAGACTCCTGAGTAGCTGGGACTACAGGCACATGCCATCACACCTGGCTAACTGTTGTATGTTTAGTAGAATGCGGGTTTCACCATAGTAACCAGGCTGGTCTCGAAATCCTGACCTCATGATCTGCCCGCCTCAGCCTCCCAAAGTGCTGGGATTACAGGCATGAGCCACCACACCCGGCCAGACTTCCAGGGATCTTTCTAGAAGACACAGGCCTCTCCTAGGCTCTCTGGACAAATGCCCTGCCCCTGCCTCACGATCACTTCACCCTGTTGGGACTCTCTCTGTTCGGCTCCCTGCATGAGCTTTGAGACCTGGCTTCAATGTCACCTGTGCTTGGGGTCCTTCCTGGCCAATTCCCTCTCCATCATCTCTTTGGAGAATCGTTTGCCTGTTGATTGAACTTGGGCTCCAGTGACAACCAAGCCCTCAAGGGCAGCCCTCCTTCTGGTAAGAACTCATGGAAGCCTTGATGTAAATCCCTAGTCCTTGCTCTCAGGATCCAAGGACCAGAAACAAGAGCCTAGGGCCCCTCCATGACCTGACCAGCCCCCAAGGCAGCCATGCCTATGGCAGCTGCACTCTAAGGCATCAGGCTCAGGGTCGCTCCAGGACACCTGTTTTCCTTGACACCATTCCAGGCCTAGGCACCAGGGGCTGCACCTCCTGTCCCTAGACTCCCCCACACTCTCCTGTCATTCAGGGGTACAGGCAGGAAAGGGCAAGGCCCTGGGTGCTCCAATACTTTACATCAGTGAACCAAGGACCTACTGAGTCCCTCGTATGTGCCCAGTCCTGGACCCCAGCATTCACGAGATGCCAACAGGCCCAGGTGACCCCCAGCCAGGGTGAGTGGCACCCAGCACTAGGAAGTGGCCTTCAGAGCAGGGGCCCTGAGCTGATGACATCTACACCTAGGGCAGTGCCAGCCCAGACAACCTCCAGAACAATGGGATGTCCTCTCCAATGACCAATTTATAGGAAACAAGGACACACCCACAGCACCACAGAAGTGACACCACGGAGGTGGCAGCCCTGAGACACAGCCGAAAACCCAGGCTGCAGGAGCCGGTTTCTTCAACACATTGTACAAGGAAAAAGAGAGAAGGGGAAGCTCCTAGACATCACCGGACATTCAAAAGACATCACTCACACCTGTAATCCCAGCACTTCGAGAGGCCAAGCCTGGCGATCACCTGAGGCCAAGAGATGGAGACCACCTAGCCAACATGGTAAAACCCTGTCCCTACTAAAAATACAAAAATTAGCCAGGCAGAATCGCAGGGGCCTGTAATCTCAGCTACTTATGAGTCTGAGGCAGGAGAATTGCTTGAACCTGGGAGGCTGCAGGTTGCAGTGAGCCAAGATCACTCAACTGCCCTCCAGCATGGGCAACAGAGCAAGACTCCATCTCAAAAAAGACATCAGCTGGCTGGTATGAGCACAGTGGTGTTTACAACCAATTGATCACAGCCAGGTAGATTTCTTTGTTCTTTCTCCAGTCCCACTGCTTTGCTTAACCTTAAAGACACACTTAGGTATTTTTGCCAGGTGCAGTAGCTCATGCCTGTAATCCCAGAACTTTGGGAGGCTGAAGCGGGTGAATCACCTGAGGTCAGGAGTTTGAGACCAGCCTGACCTACATGGGGAAACCCCGTCTCTACCAAAAATAGAAAACTAGCAGCACATCATGGTGTATGCCTGTAACCCCAGCTACTCAGGAGGCTGAGGTAGGAGAATTACTTGAATCAAAAAGGCAGACACTGCAGTGAGCCAAGATTGTGCCACTGCACTCCAGCCTAGACAACAAGAGTGAAACCCCATCTCCAAAACAAAACAAAAAAAGGACACGTACATATTTTCTCATTTTTTTGTTTTTGTTTTTGTTTTTTTTTGATATAATTTTTAAAAGACATCTACTAATTGCACTGGTGGACCTTATTTGGCTCCTAATTCAAACTATTAAACTAAATATATGAACACAATAGACCTTCAGTGACATTAAGGAATTGTTCATTGTGTTACATGTGTCTGTGGTGCTGCGATGCCCTCCAAAATGCTTGCAGATAAAGAACAGGGTGGCTGGAATTTGATTTAAAACATGGGTCAGCAGGGAGAACGGACCGGGCAGGGAGCGCAGGGCAGGCTCTGGGGTAGGGGGTCCATGAGTCAGCCACAGCTCTGCCCACATCTCCCACAAAGCTTGGAGCCACATGGAGCAGCATATTTTGCAGTGCACCGTATTTTCAAAAAGCCACCACCTCTCAACAGCATCATTTAACCCAAGGAAGACTGTGGCCTCAGAAGCCCCAGGTGTCCTCCATCTGGGACTAGACACAGTTGTCCCTGCTGAGCCTCAGCAGCTGGGGAACCACAAATGGAGGGGCACCTGTGTGAGGTCCCCAGGCCGGCTGCTGGTGATATCCAGACAGCAATGCTCCTGGGCCTTTAAACACCCACTGGTAGCTGTGATCTGTGTCCTTGGCCTCTCCCAACTCAGCCCTTCTATCCTGGGGAAAGAAAACCCACCGGTCTCCCTGAGCAGGAGTTGGCAGGGTAGACAGCAAAATGGCTAGGAGGCTCTCAGAGCTTAGAGGGCAGCCTGAGCGGGGACAGTCAGGGTGTTAACATCCTCCCCAAGGCCCCAGTTTCCCATGGGTCACCTCACTCCGCCTTCCAGAACTCTCCCAGCAGCAGCTCCGGGAGTGTACAGAACAGCACCCACCTGCCCACATGAGGTCACCCTGTGCCCTGTTGCACACCCGAGGGGCCAGCCATTCAGAATCCTGCCAGCTCAGGCTAGGACAGGCCACCAACTCCCAGGATCCCCCTCCTCCCAACCCCAGGACCAGAGTCTAACGCGACAACGCAAGGCAGGGGTGGAGGGATCCGCTGCTGTGCTGAGGGCCTGGAGAGCCGCGGCCTTGCTCTCCGCTCAGGCGCCGCCAGCGCCCTTCTCTCCTGGACAGCTCCTGAGACGCCGCTCACATGGACAGCACCAGGTGCCGGGAAGCAGGAAGCACCGGCAGGACCCGGACAGAGCCTAGCAATCGGCCTGGCAGACAGAAGTGCCCTCAGCTACAGCATCAGAAACAACGGGTGGAGGTCTGAAGCAATTCTGTGGGCCCTGCTGCCAGGCAGGAGGGGGCCGTCTCCACAGAGACTGTCGCGAGACACACGCTTCAGCGGTCAGGGGGACAGAAGCAGTGCAGCTCTGTGGGGCAAAGCCTCCAGCTGGTCCCGAAAAATCCGTTCTTCCCCACCCTCGAGAAGACCCATCAAATCCCCAAGAAGAACACAGGGCTCCCCTAAGGAAGGGTGGCCACAGGCGGGAGTGACCCAGAAACCTTACAAAACCAAATGCCAGGACCCACCCTGTGTTTAGCAAGCCTGGGGATTTGCCACATTCCCCAGGGATCCAGCATGCACCCAGGGAGACGCAGTGTCCCGATGAGGAGCCTGGAACCTGGGAAATTCAAGGCATCAGACCGGCCCCAGAGTCTCCACAGCGCTGGGGACAACCGTCTGCACATCTCAGTCCCCTGCGCCCCTTTCAACCCAACCCTGAGTCCTGGGCACCTCACAGGTCCAAACCCCTGCTGTGCACATCCCGGCTGTGATGCCTGGGACAGGTCGCGTCACCTCTCCAAACCTGTTTCCCCATCTGTGAAATGCGGATCTCGACGGTCCCCACGTCTCAGAGGGTCAGGGTCAGGATTCCGCATGACGACCCCCAACAGGAGCCTGGCACAGGGTCTCCATAAAGGCCACCTGTGTTTACCTCCAGAAAGCGAACAGGTCAAGGCTTTAAACCCCCACGGCAATCCCCCCTCAGGACAGCCTCGGAACCCAAGAGCAGAGCGCCTGAGGCCCTTGTGACCCCTGCAGACCCGCGAGCCCACCTCCCAACCTGGCCCTAACCCTCACACCTCCTGTGGTCAGCTTCCAGCCTCCCAGTCTTTGCTCACACCGTTTGACCCCCTCCCTCTGGACCCACCTCTTGACTCCTTCCTAAGCATCAGGCCAATTCTTGGATATCCATCAAATCTTTGTCCAGACACCTCCTGGAAGTCTTCCCTGCCGCCCCCGACAGCGATCCCCGCCTGCCCGGGTACCCCGCAGCCCCAGGCCGCATCCTAATTCCTCCCCAATTAGCAAGTGTTTGTCCTCCCGACTAAGCGCGGACTCCCCGCCCCGCCTCCGCTGGCGTCTGCAGAGCCCCCGGGTGGGACTTCGGTCTCCAAAAACTCGGGGTTTTTCGGCTTCCCCAGGCGGTGCCAGCCACGGCTCCAGGCGTTCCTTATTTAGCAGGGCCGCCGTCCCGCGCCCGAGCCTCGCCCTGGGAGCGTCCTGGCCCGCGCCCCGCTTCCAGTCCCGGACCAGGGAACGCGCCCACGCCCGCCCGCCCCGAGGCCTCTCCCGGCTCCCGCCCGGCCCGCTACTTACAGCGCCGTGGCGTCCGCGGGGATGCGCAGCGCGGGCCCGAGCGTCCGCAGCCCGCGACCCGAGCAGTTGACGCGGCAGGCGGCGCCGGGAGCCGGGCCGCAGAGGCAGGGGGGCGCACAAGGCCCGCAGCCGCGCCCGGAGCCCCCCGCCAGCGACCCGAGCCACAGGCCCAGGCCCAGGGCCAGCGTCAGGCGGGCGGGCGCGGCGGGCGGCATCGTCAGGGTAGTGCGCGCATGGCCCCGCCGGCCCCAGGCCCGCCCGCGCGCGGAGGCCGCGGCTCAGGCGGGGCCCGCGGACTGCATGGCTGGCGCGGGGCAGAATAGGACTAGGGCCACGGTCTGCTGCTGCGCGACGCCCGCTCCGCGCTCAGGGCTAGGTCGCTCCAGGAGCTCAGCCGCCAGCTAAGACGCTAGCGCTGCAGTGCGGGCCCCGCCGCGGCTCCTCCTCCTCCCCGTGGGGCGCGAGACGGGCGGGGCGAGCGCAAGCTCCGCCCCCTGCCCGCTGTGGCTAGCGCAGCCGGGGCCAGATATTGGGGGCGGGCGTCGGGAGACTTCACCCTCAGCTCTGCTACGTCTGCAGCTAGGCGGGGGCTCCGGAAGCTCCGCCCACTACGTCTCCGGGTCGCCGGCGACGTGGGGCGGAATAAGGGTCGGGGCTTCTGGAAGACCCGCCCGTCGCACTGCCGAGTAGGCCGAGGCGCGAGGTGGGCGGAGTACTTTCACGCTCCGCCCCCTGCAGGCGAAAGTGCGTGAGCCAGGAGCGGTGGGCGGGACGCCAAATAGCTCCGCCCTTCTAGGTGTGGGCCGGGCCACGGACTTCTCCTCCTCCTGCAGTAGCCGCAGGCGCCGCCGCGCTCCGTCTCCCGCGGCTCAGTCTGCGCGCGCGTCCCCACTACCCGCAGCCTCCCGAGGCATTCGCTGGCTCCAAGCCTACCTACCCCAGGTTTCCTGGCTAATTGAGACACAGAGGGAGAGAGCGGGAGGGAGAGAACAAACAGTGTGAGGTTGATGAAACCCACATCCTTCATTCCCCATCCATTCATTTATTGCCTTATTTATTCCATCGAATCTTCACAGCTCTAGGAAAAGGGTGCTACAGTGATTTCCTTTATTAAATGAGGTCACCGAGGCACAGAGAGTTTAAGAAATTTGCTAGCGGGGCGCAGTGGCTCACTCCTGTAATACTAGCACTTTGAGAGGTCTAGGAAGGTAGATCCCTTGAGCCTAGGAGCTTGAAAACAACTTGGCCAACATGGCGAGACCCCGTTTCTACAAAAATTATACAAGCATGGTTGCTAACGCCTCTAGTCGTCCCAGGTACTCGGGAAGCTGAGGCCAGAGGATTGCTTGAGCCCAGGAGTCAGTGGCTGCAGTGAGCCGTGATTGTGCCACCGCACTCCAGCCGGAGTGACAGAGTGAGACCCTGTTTCAGGAAAATAAATATATAAATAATAATAAAAAAAAGAACTGGCGGGGCCCAATTGCTCACGCCTGTAATCCCAGCACTTTGGGAGGCTGAGATGGGCGGATCACCTGAGATTGGGAGTTCAAGACCAGCCAGACCAACATGAAGAAACCCCATCTCTGCTAAAAATACAAAATTAACGGGGCATGGTGGTGCATTCCTGTAATCCCAGATATTCAGGAGGCTGAAGTAGGAGAATCTCTTGAATCTGGGAGGCGGAGGTTGCAGTGACCCGAGATCATGCCATTGCATTCCAGCCTGGGTAAAAAGGGCAAAACTCCATCTCAAACAATCAAACAAAAAACAAAAATTAGACCAGTGTGGTGGTGGCCACCTGTAATCCCAGGTATTTGGGAGGCCGAGGCAAGAGAATCACTGGAACACGGGAGGCAGAAGTTGCAGTGAGCCGAGATCATGCCACTGCACTCCAGCCTGGGTAACAGAGCAAGACACCATCTCATAAAACAAAGAAAAAAAGAAATTTACCAGGTCACACAGCAGGTGGTGGTAGGGCTGCAATTATATTCCAAATCGAGCTTTTAATTGCAGTCAAATGTCAGATGTAAGATTCCAGAACTCCAGAAGAAAGAAGATACAACCACAAGGAACTGATGCCAAATGAGCAAAACAGATCAATGATTGTTTGAAGGCAGTTGTGGCGTAAAAGGCAATTGTGTAAAAAGGATTTCTGAAATAGAAAAGACATATGCTTTTTTTTTTTCCCTTTTTGAGACAGAGTTTCACTCTTGTTGCCCAGGCTGGAGGGCAATGGTGTGATCTTGGCTCACTGCAACCTCTGCCTCCCAGGTTCAAGCGATTCTTCTGCCTCAGCCTTCCGAGTAGCTAGGATTACAGGCATGCACCACCACACCCAGCTAATTTTTTGTATTTTAAGTAGAGAACAGGTTTCACCACGTTGGCCAGGCTGGCCAAACTCTTGACCTCAGGTGATTCACCCACCTTGGCCTCCCAAAGTGGTGGGATTACAGGCATGAGCCACCACGCCCCGCCTGACGTATGCTTAAAGAAGCAAATTAATTATCTGGAAATGAAATTCTAAACTACTTAAAAAACCATGTGGGCTGGGCTCATGCCTGTAATTCCAGCACTTTGGAGGCCGAGGTGGCTGGATCACCTAAGGTCAGGAGTTTGAGACCAGCCTGACCAACATGAAGAAACGCTGTCTCTACTAAAAATAAAAAAACTAGCTGGGCATGGTGGCGACGATGCCTGTAATCCCAGCTACTCTGGAGGCTGAAGCAGGAGAATCGCTTGAACCTGGGAGGCAGAGGTTGCAGTGAGCTGAGATCACGCCATGGCACTCCAGCCTGGACAAGAAGAGCGAAACTGTCTCAAAAAAAAAAATGTGGTGACACAGAGCAAATAAAAGTGCCAAAGATCCTGTTTGGTTCAGGGAAGAAGACATTAGAGAAATGTTTCTTGATAAAATGCAAACTTGAGGATTTTATTAACTGTTGTTAATAATTATTAGCCTAAAAGGGGGAAACTAGAAGAGGAGAAAAGAAACAAGAAAATTTGGCTGGGCATGGTGGCCAAGCACTCGGGGCCAGGAGTCCCGGAGAAACATGGCCCAGCACTGTGGGAGGCCGAGGCAGGTGGACCACCTGAGGTCAAGAGTTTCAGACAAGCCTGAAAATCCCATCTCTATTAAAAATACAAATATTAGCCAGGCATCGTGGCGGGCATTTGTAATCCCAGCTACTCAGGAGGCTGAGGCAGGAGAATCACTGGAACCCAGGAGGCAGAGGCTGCAGTGAGCCGAGGTAGCACCATTGCACTCAAGCCTGGGCAACAGAAAGACACTCCATCTCAAGAAAAAAAAAAAAAAAAAAAAAAAAAAAAAAATGCTGGGGGCGGTAACTCATACCTGTAATCCCAGCACTTTGGGAGGCTGAGGTGGGTGGGTCACCTGAGGTCAGAAGTTTGAGACCAGCCTGACCAATATCATGAAACCCCATTTCTACTAAAAATACAAAAATTAGCCGGGTGTGGTGTCAGACACCTGTAGTCGCAGCTACTTAGGAGGCTAAAAGCTAAAACAGGACAATTGCTTGAACCCAGGAGCTGGAGATTGCAGTGAGTCAAGATCACGCCATTGCACTCCAGCCTGGGTGACAAAGCAAGACTCTGTCTCAAAAAAAAAAAAAGAAAGAAAAGAAAAGACAAGAAAGTAGGAAACTGCCAACACAAAGTAAGTATGGCAGCAGTATTGATACCAGAAAAATAAACCTCAGGAAAAAGGTGTTAAATGGGAAAGGAGTCTTTTTTTCTACATGAATAACAGGTATAGTCTATGTAGAATATATTACAAATGGTTCTGTTCTCAAAAATAGAACATCAACCCACAAAGCTAAACTGTGAAATACAAAGATTCTGAAAACCAAAATCGGGCCAGGTGCCTTGGCTCATGCCTGGAATCTTAGCACTTTGGGAGGCCAAGGCAAGCAGATCACAAGGTCAGGAGTGCAAGACCAGACTGGCCAACATGGTGAAACCCCATCTCTACTAAAAAATACAAAAACTAGCTTGGCATGGTGGCTTGTGCCTGTAATCCCAGCTATTTGGGAGGCTGAGGTAGGAGAATTGCTTGAACTGGGACCCGGAAGGTGGAAGTTGCATTGAGCCAAGATGAAGCCACTGTACTCCAGCCTGGGCTACAGAGCGAGACTCTATCTCAAAACAAAACAAACACAAAATCATCTCAGGAGGCTTTATTACACCTTCTTTTGAGTTTTACAGATGAAATAAACAATTTTTGTCCTGGCACAGTGGGTCATGCCTATAATTCCAGAACTTCAGAAGACCAAGGCAGGAAGATCACTGAGGCCAGCCTGGACAACATGGAGAGACTCCATCTCTATAAAAAATAAAAACAAAAAATTAGCCAGGCATAGTGGAGCTCACCTGTGGTCAGTTCTGGTTACTTGGGAGAATGAGGTGGGAGGCTTACTTGAGCCCGGAAGGTCAAGGCTGCAGTGAGCCATGATAGCACCACTGCACTCCAGCCTGGGTGACAGAGGGAGATCCTGTCTCAAAAAACAAAAAATAGAGAGAGACCTTTTTTTTTTTTTTTTTTTTTGTTTTGGAGATAGAGTCTCCCTCTGTCACCCAGGCTGTTGGAGTGCAATGGTGTGATCTCAGCTTACCATAACTTCTGCCTCCCAGGTTCAAGTGATTCTCTTGCCTCAGCCTCCCAAGTAGCTGGGACTACAGGCATGCACCACTACACCTGGCTAAGTTTTATATTTTTAGTTGACACCAGGTTTCATGATGTTAGCCAGGTTGGTCTGTAACTCCTGGCCTCAAGTGAGTCACCTGCCTCAGCCTCCCAAAGTACTCAGATTACAGGCGTGAGCCACCGTGCCTGGCCAAAGAGACACTATTTTTAAAGTCAGTAAAAATAGAGAGACTTTGAGTAGCACAGTTAATAAGCTGTATTGTACACAAAACAGGGCTTGTTAAGGACTTTGGCGTTGCAGATGTTAGGCAAGGTCTGAGGACGAGCTTTGATAAGAACATGGCTTTAAACACTACCACCCTCTAGAGGCTCTCTTGGGTACTATCTCTTGCTTACGGCACCAAATCTTGATTCCAGATCACAACTGAAGCTCCCACAAGCAAACCCTAACCCAGGGACTCCCACCTGAGTAGAGAGGCCTGAAGAACCATTCACAGAAGGTCACAGGACAGCTGGACACCCTGACAGCCCAGATCACTGAAAGGTGAAGCTGGAAATCATGGACAGTGAGCGGTGGTTCACATGCCTGTAATCCCAGCACTGTGGGAGGCCCAGGTGGGAAGATCACTTAAACCAAGGACTGTGAGTCCAGGCTGGGCAACATAGTGAGACCACCATCTCTACAACAAAAAGAAAAGTCAGCCGGGCATGGTGGTGCACACCTACAGTCGCAGCTACTTGGGAGGCTGAGGCAGGAGGATTGCTTGAGCCCAGGAGGCTGAAGCTGCAGTCAGCCATCATTGCACCACTGAACTCCAGCCTAAGCAACAGGGTAAGATCCTGTATGGAAAAAAAAAGAGAGAGAAAAGGAAGTGATGGATGTGTACCTTATCTTGATTGACATACACCCACAATGGTTTCATGGATGTTAACATATGTCAAAACTTATCCAAGTGCATACTTTAAATATGCACAACTCACTCCAGCCTGGGTGACAGATGGAGAGAGACCCTGCCTACACCCTTAAAAAATAAAATAAATAAATGGCTGAGTACAGTGGCTCACGCCTGTAATCCCAACACTGCGGGAGGCTGAGGTGAGTGACTCACTTGAGCTCAGGAGTTCAAGACCAGCCTGGCCAACATCACAAAACTCCATCTCTACTAAAAATACAAAAAGTAGCCAGGCATGGTGGTGGGTGCCTGTAAGCCCAGCTACTCAGGAGGCTGAAGCAGGAGAATTGCTTGAACCCAGGAGGTGAAGGTTGCAGTGAGCCGAGCTTGTGCCACTGTACTCCAGCCTGGACAACAAGAGAGAAACTCCATTTAAAAAAAAAAAAAAAGGCCGGGCGCGGTGGCTCAAGCCTGTAATCCCAGCACTTTGGGAGGCCAAGGCGGGTGGATCACGAGGTCAAGAGATCAAGACCATCCTGGTCAACAAGGTGAAACCCCGTCTCTACTAAAAATACAAAAAGTTAGCTGGGCATGGTGGCGCGTGCCTGTAATCCCAGCTACTCAGGAGGCTGAAGCAGGAGAATTGCCTGAACCCAGGAGGTGGAGGTTGCGGTGAGCCGAGATCGCGCCATTGCACTCCAGCTTGGGTAACAAGAGCGAAACTCTGTTTCAAAAAAAAAAAAAAAAGATGGCTGGGCTCGATGGCTCACGCCTGTAATCCTAGCACTTTGGGAGGCTGAGGTGGGTGGATCACCTGAGGTCAGGAGTTCAAGACCAGCCTGGCCATCATGGTGAAACCCCATCTTTATTAAAGAAAAAAAAAAAAAAGAAAGAAAGAAACAAAAGGAAAAGAAATGAATAGTAATGAGCACACATCACAGAAAATCTACGGGGATGCAGTCAAAGTTATACGTGGAGAGACACTGATTACATTAGTCAGCATGAACAATCAAACCAATATATAAACTAAGTATTTATTTCAACATTCTAGAAAAACAACTGTAAAATAAACCAAAAAAAAGATGAAAGGCAATTAGAAAGTGAAGAGCAGAAATTAGTTATTTTAGAAGAAAGAGTAGAATTGATGGATAAAATTGAGCTATTTTAATATATATAGCTGCTAAGATTTTCCTTGAGAAAAATTCTAGTAAGTGTGACTGAGAGACAGAAAACAAGAGAGAAAAAGAAAATGCAGAACATTCAGATAAATGAAGTCTATTTAAAGAGATGGAAAAAAGTTAAAAATTATAAAAGAAAATTATATGTAATTGTTTGCCTACATGTTTGAAATCTATATGGAACAATTATGTGTTACAAACTGTAAAAACTGATTCTAGAAGAAATTAAAAACCCGAATAGACCAATAAAAAAGGAAAACATGGCTGGGCGCGGTGGCTCACGCCTGTAATCCCAGCACTTTGGGAGGCCGAGGCGGGTGGATCACGAGGTCAAGAGATCGAGACCATCCTGGTCAACATGGTGAAACCCCGTCTCTACTAAAAATACAAAAAATTAGCTGGGCATGGTGGTGCGTGCCTGTAATCCCAGCTACTCAGGAGGCTGAGGAAGGAGAATTGCCTGAACCCGGGAGGCAGAGGTTGCGGTGAGCTGAGATCGCGCCATTGCACTCCAGCCTGGGTAACGAGAGCGAAACTCTGTCTCAAAAAAAAAAAAAAAAAGGAAAACACTGAAAACTTATCAAAAGCCATGTCAGGAAAAGGCACTTAACCCAGATCTTTTTGTGGACAAGTTCTATCAAATGTGGAAGACTTAGATCATTTTGATTTAATTTAGACTCCTAGAAAACAAAACTGGGCATGGTGGCTCATGCCTGTAATCCCAACATCTTGGGAGGCTAAGGCGGGAGGATCACTCCAGCCCAGGAGTTCAAGACCAGCCTGGACAACATACTGAGACCCCCATCTGTACAAAAAAACTAAAAAATTGCTGGGAGACTAAAGTGGGAGAATTGCTTGAGCCAAAGAGTTGGAGGCTACAGTGAGTCAGGACAGCACCATTGTTCTCCAGCCTGGTTAACAGAGTAAGACCCTATACCAAAATAAAAGGGCCAGGTGTGGTGGCTCATGCCTGTAACCCCAGCACTTTGGGAGGCTGAGGCAGGCAGATCACCTGAGGTCAGGAGTTTGAGACCATCCTGGCCAACATGATGAAACCCTGTGTCTAATAAAATACAAAAATTAGCCGGGCTTGGTGGTGCACACCTGTAATCCCAGCTACTCAGGAGGCTGAGACAGGAGAAGAGCTTGAACCTGGGAGGCAGAGGTTGCGGTGAGCTGAGATTGTGCCACTGCACTCCAGCCTGGGCAACAAGGCGAGGCTCTATCTCAAAGAGAAAAGAAAGGAAAAAGAGGCTAGAAACATTGCAAGGAGAGCACGTGGCACAGCCTGGGACAGTGAGCGATCGTTACGGTTACGCAGGGGTCTGTCTTACTCATCGACAGGGATGCCCGCACTTGCCATGAGGCCCTGTGTGTCACTCTGAGGCTGCCGGAGAGCTGCAGCCAGGAGCCCTGATGCTGCCTTCTCCAATGGCCAAGCGGACGACCTTACTCAGCTCAGGAGCAGGGAGCCAGCACTGCTGACAGCAGGCCACTGGCCCCGCAGGAGTGAGGATATCGCTTTGACAGCCACAGAGGTGTACCTGACTCCCACGTCAGCTCCTCTTCTGTGTGGCAGAGCACCTCTGCCACCTTCCCATCTGGAAGTACCTGAGTCACTGTGGTCACATTTGCGGGGAACAAAGGGCCCCATTCAGGCAGGGCTAGACACTTGCTTATCACCACCCACCCGACAGGGCCTCAGGCCCACCATGGTGAGTAGGCTGAAGCAGGGGTGACCTCTCAGGAGGACACCCTGAGAGGTGCACACCTGGACACCGGGAAGAGCTTTCCTGTGACGTCACCCACGTTCTGGGCTGACTCAGTGCCTATCTCTCGGGTGGAAGTCTCATTCAGCCCTGCCGCAGTTCCTCTGACGTTTCCATGGCAACATTCACGCGGATTTCATAGAACAGAAGGTGTTTGAGCTGGAAGGCACCTCAGAGATCGGCTCCTCCTGCCCCCTCATTTCACAGAGAGGGGAGCAGGCCCAGAGAGGGAATGCCACATGCCCAGGGGCACACAGCAAACCGGGGACCCCTCGGAGAGCACAGACCGCTGAGCTCCAGAGGACAGTCTTGGGAGGTGCCCTGGGGGCTCAGGCCTTGGGGGCTTTGCTACTCCCTGGCTTGCTAAGAGCCTCCTGAAGTCCAGTCCAGCTCTCTCCTGCTTGGCCACAGAGCAATCCCTCAAGTGCCTGGCAGGAGCAGGAGTAGGCAGGACAGGATCCTGTCCTCAGGAGGCTCACAGGCTGGTGCAGACGACGTGCAGCTGCCAGGGCAGGGCTGGAGAACATCCAGGGAGCCAGATGTGGGGCAGGATGAGCCAGGGCAGGCTCCCTGGAGGGTGGGGCCACACGCAGAGCCTGGAAGCCTGAGGAGGCCTCACTCTCAGCACACAGGGGCCAGCCCGAGGGCCCCGCTCCGAGGGCAGAGTGTAGGGAAGAGGCTGGAGGGTTTGGAAAATGGGGGCGAGAGAGAGGCTGTCCTGGTCCGTGGGTCCCAGGGGTTGTAGTGGCTGAGGGTTTACGGCATACATCCCTCCAGACACCCAGGATGGTCAGAAGGCACCAGCAGGAGCTACAGGCCACAGTGTGAGGGGCCGCCGGAGGGTAGCAGGAGCGAGGCCCTAAGGAGACCTGAGGTGCTCCCTTCCCTTGAGGACAGGAGCTCGTGGAGACCCTCCCCTGCCTGGCACAGCCAGCTCTGCACCAGAAGGGTCGAGGGCTGGAGCACCCCCCCCAGGGAAACACAGACCTCACTCTCCGCCTGCAGCTCCCAGGGCTCATCTCAACCTCGGAGCCTGCCTCAGGGACTGCCCCGGCTCACAGGACTCTTCCCTTCTCCAGGTCTGAAGACTCCAAGAATCTGGACATCCCAAGGCCTCCCTCCTGGCCTTTCCCACCATGCTGGCCTTCTGCCTTGCCCTCGCTGGCTGGCTGGTGTAGTTAGTTACTGCTATGTAACAGAAACATGTACGAATCTGCCGTTTAAAAAGGCTCCAAGGGGACAGCTCCGCTCTGCTCTGCATGGCATCAGCTGGGGTGGGGCACCCACTACCAAGATGACTTCTCTCCCTGCACGGCAGGCCATTCAGGTCTTCCCCATGTAGGTCTCCCCCAAGGCTACCTGGGCTTTCTCCCAGCATGGCAGCTGGGTTCCAAGAACCACAGTTCCAGGAGACGGGAAGGTCTGGGTCCAAAAACGGATGCCAAGTCACTTCTGCCATAGCTGCCATTCCAAGTAATCATAGCCCTGTCCAGATTCAAGGACAGGGGACGTAGGCCCTTTCCATCTTTGGGAGGAGTACCAAAACATTTAATCTGTCTCTTTTTGTTTGTTTGTTTGTTTTCTTGAGACAGAGTCTCTCTGTGTCACACAGACTGGAGTGCAGTGGCGCAGTTTCAGCTTACTACAACCTCTGCCTCCCGGGTTCAGGCAATTCTCCTGCCTCAGCCTCCTGAGTAGCTGGGACTACAGGCATGTGCCACCATGCCCAGTTCATTTTTGTATTTTTAGTAGAGATAGGTTGGCCAGGCTGGTCTCGAACCCCTGACCTCAAGTGATCCACCTGCCTCAGCCTCCCAAAGTGCTGGGATTACAGGCATTAGCCATTGCGCCTGGCCCCATTTAATCCACCTTTAATCTGCTGCAGCATCCCACTGGTCTCTGTCCCATGGACTCCAACCTTCCCTTTCCTGCCTCCAGGCCTGCAGCTTCTTTCCTGGAGATCCTCTCTGTTCCTATTATCCCTCCCCTGGGTGACTACAGACCCCATCAATCTCATCTCCAGGCCCACAGGCTCCATTGTCCATCCCCTCCTGCCAGTCCCCGGTATTCCTGTAGCACAACATCCTCTGCTCAAAAACCATGCATGGCTCCCTACTTCCCACTGTACAATTTCCAGGCTCCTTGGAATAACACTCAGGTCTCCCTTCCCAGCTGACCCCGTTCTACCTTACCAGTTTGGATAACCTCCTGTTTCCTCCAAGCAACTGGCCCACACTTTGGCCACCTCAGCTCAAAGTGCCTCCCTGCTGGTGCTCTCAACCTATGCATATTTACTCCCTTCACCTGGCGACTTTGTCTCTTGTATTGGACTTTAACTGAGTCCTCAAAGCCCAGTGCAAATCCTCCTTCCTCCAAAAGGCTTCCCCTCACTACTGACCACACTTGTCTCAAATCTTTGTTAGCAAGGACATGTCCTTCTGAAGTGAGGCTTGTGTTTCTAAGTCACGTTTCTTCCTCTTCTCTTTCTTTCTTTTTTTCTCTTCTCTTTCTTTCTTTTTTTTTTTAAGACAGAGTCTTTTTTTTTTTTTTTTTGAGACAGAGTTTCGCTCGTTACCCAGGCTGGAGTGCAATGGCGCGATCTCGGCTCACTGCAACCTCCGCCTCCTGGGTTCAGGCAATTCTCCTGCCTCAGCCTCCTGAGAAGCTGGGATTACAGGCACGTGCCACCATGCCCAACTAATTTTTTGTATTTTTAGTAGAGACGGGGTTTCACCATGTTGACCAGGATGGTCTCGATCTCTCGACCTCATGATCCACCCGCCTCGGCCTCCCAAAGTGCTGGGATTACAAGCTTGAGCCACCGCGCCCGGCCTTAAGACAGAGTCTTGATCTGTTACTCAGGCTGGAGTGCAACAGCACGACCTCAGCTCACTGCAACCTCTTCCTCCTGGGTTCTAGCGATTCTCCTGCCTCAGCCTCCCAAGTAGCTGGGATTACAAGCACCTGCCACCACACACAGCTAAGTTTTGTATTTTTCATAGATATAGGGTTTCACTATATTGGCCAGGCTGGTCTTGAACTCCTGGCCTCAAGTGATCTGCCCACCTCATCCTCCCAAAGTGCTGGAATTACAGGCATGAGCCACCTCACCCAACCTCGTTCATCAGCTTAATCACCGCTTATGGAGGCCCAGAGCTGGCTGCTGGGGACAGCAGTGACCAAGACAATCTGCTTCCTGTGCCCAGAGAGCTTACACTCCAGAGGGTGAAACAGATGGCAAACACAGGAACCAAGAGACATAACGATCAAAGATTACAAGGCCTGCTGAAGCCAAGAGAGGGGTCTGTGATGCAGGCACCCAGAGCTTCCTATTTTCAAGAGAAACCCGAGACTTGGATTTTTACGTAAACTCTCCTAATTTTAAAGGTTGCCAAAGCAAGCCCGTTTCCTCTGCTCGCGAGAGACTCCCTCCCCGCCTGGCCTCCCACTTTCTCCGGCACCTGCCTCCTTCTCTTCCTGGTGGCCCCATCGCACTCCTCCCCTGCAGGATGCCCTACTTGCACCCAACTCCTCCTGCCACCCATGCCCTGGGGATATCTGAGCAGCAGCAGGCAGGAAGTGGTGGGGAGTCCATGGCCCAGGACCCTGGGGCCAGTGCACAGCAGCTGCTGAGGCCCCCAGCTCAGACCCTGAGCCAGCTATCCTGAAGGAGGCCTCGTAGGGGATGGACACCTGGAGTCACCAGGGCTGGAGGAGTGGAAGCCAAATACCCTGGCCGGGCCCACTGCACACACATTGGGGGTTGCTCTGGAGGAGTTGTGGGGGTGCCAGAGGAATGAGAAAGGAAGGGAAGCCTGGGGAGTTCTGAGAGGGCTTCCTGGTTTGCCCCCCAGCTCTTCTAGGTCCCTGGGGAATGAATCTCTGGGGATCTCTGCCATGGGACAGTTTATGTTCTCCAGAGCTAGTGTTCCCAGGAGCAAATTCTAGCTCTGCCCCTTCCCAGCCTGCTGACCTCGGACAGCACTCCTTGCTGTTCTAGGCCTTGGTTTCCCCATCTGAACAGTGGAGACGATACCAGCACCCACCTCACAGGATAACTTTGAAGAGGTCATGTGCCTGGCATGCAACAGTGATCAGGGGAAGGCAAACTTCCATGGCCTCTGCTGTGCTGGCTGCTGCCAAGCCCTCTCGAGGAATCACTCTGCTGGGCACTGCCCCTCCATCTGTGTTTTCTCAGGCCTCTGATCTGAGAGGCAGCTGATTGGGCTCTGGGCACTGCCAGCTGGGAGGGCTCAGACCTCAGGATGGTCCAAGGTCCTGGTGACAGCTGTCACATCTCCGGGGACAGCCAGGTCAACTCTCCACCTCCCAGAAAAGCATCAAGAAGCCCCCCCGATGCCAGGGACACCGCCCCCTGCACCCTCTGCACCACTGTCCCCCAGCTCTGACCACTGCAGTCCCATCTTCTCTGTGGGAGGGGGTGACGGAGTTCCAGTCAGCCCAGGTGGTGAGGAGGTGTCAGCCCAGGTCGGGAAGATAGGTCTGCCAGGGACCAGTTTAGCCGGCTTAGGGTTTGGAGAATCAGCCCTGGCCACCTGAAGGTCCGACCTCAAGGGGAAAGCCAAGGGGCCAGCCACAGCCTGGTCAGGGGCGTCCGCCTTCCACCTTCCAGACCCTGAGGGCAAAGTCCCATGGGACAGGACCCTCAGGGGGCTGGCTGCCACAGCAACTTCCTCTGTCCCTCGGATTCCGAGGCCAGCACAGTGGCAGAAGCTGCGGGGGACAGCGCTCCAACCGCTGTGTCCTCTCAGTGACCAGCTGTCACCTGAGCCCAAGAAGCCCGCCCCAGCAGCCGGGTGTGTTTGCCAAGCAAGTGCTGGAGCTTCCCGGACTCGCCTGCCTTGGAGGGGACGGAGCAGTGAAGGGCAGTGGGCCAAGCGGCAGGCTCTGGGGCTGAGGGGACAGAAGCCCGAAGTGTCCGTCCATGTCCATGCAGGCCCTCTGCCCCAGCACCCACATCTCAGGACACCTCCTCCCCCAGGTCTGGCAGTCCAGTTTGGGGGTCACCGAGCTAGGGTGGTATGTAGCCAGCAGAGGGGATTCAAGATCCCGGGGTGCCCCCTGGCCTAGGCCCACCACCCTACAGCCGGCTCCAGCCCTCGAGGCAGACCTGGACAGGGGTCGTGGGCTGGGGGTGGGGCGGTGCCCAGGGCCTCCTGACCCCGCCCCGAGTGGAATGTATTTGCATGTCCCCGCCCCACGCGCGGCATTGGCGGTGGCGGCAGGAGGCCGGGCCTGAGTGGCTGCGCGCCCGTGGGGCGGCGGGGGCGGGGCGCGAGCCGGGTGCACGGGATGATGCCGCTGCTGCTGCTGCCGGGGGAAGGGTTCGGGTCCGGGTCGGGCTCTGAGGGCGCGAGGAACGGGACGGCCTGGGGCGCGACGGCTGCAGCGACAGCACACTGAGCGCCCGCCCGCCATGTCCAGGAAGAAGACCTCCAAGAGCAAGGGGGCCAGCGCCCCCGCTGCCTCCACACTGCCCGCCGCCAACGGGCCCCAACCAGCGCGCTCCGGGACTGCGCGCCCTGGCCCCGACGCGCCGCCCAACGGGCCCCCGCAGCCCGGCCGGCCCTCTCTTGGCAGCGATGGCGACTTCTACGACGTCGCCTTCAAGGTGAGCCAGGCACCCGCCCCCCAGGTCCGCGCAGCAGGTGGCGCCGGGTCTGAGCCAAGGGTTGGGGGTCGGAGAAGGGGTGCAGGGCCCGCTGCCCCAGGGCACGGAGCCGACACGGGAGGCACCCTGTGGGGCTGGAATGGTGCATCGCGCACACACACACACACACACACACACACCGCTGTCCAGCCCAGGTCTAGGATATCTAACAGCTGGCGGGGCCTGCCCTCCACTCCCACCCGGCATGGCGGTACAAGGGGCCCCGCGACCATCACTGCCCGCATCCCGTGCCCTAATGCCCTAGCCCCTGCCCGGGGTCTCATCATTTCCCATATGCTGCCCTCCCTCACCCCAGGAGCTGTGGGCCTTTTTCTTTTTCTTTTTCTTTTTTTTTTTTTTTTTTTTGCTGGGGAAAGAGGTTTGGACCAAGGCAGAGGCTATGTGGACTTGGCAGGCGGCTGGGAGGACCATCTTTGGGTTTTCGGATCACAGATTTTGAGGAGAGGGCCTTGACTGCCCCCTCCCACCCCTCCATCCTCAGATTCGGCCCAGGTCCCTCCTCAGGTCGAGATCTAACTCTAATGGAGCAAATTCCTCTTGAGCCTTGCTGGGGTCATGTCCCTGATGGGATGCGGAGAAGCCCCTGGGACAGAGGCCCCTGCAAGTCTCTTAGGATGTCCCCAGCTGCCACCCCACCTGCTCCCTGCCTCAGATGAAGCATGCTGTCCACCGTGGGAGAATATGGACGGTAGGGAGGGTGTGGGATGGGGTGGCCGCCCTCATTCCCTACTGACTGAGAGGGCCACTGTGCGGAAGGACAGAGTGGCCCAAGCCTTCCAGTGGCAGAAGCTGGGTGTCCAGGCCATTGGTGTTGCTGGCTGCAGTGTCTCCCCGGGGCTCTTTGAGCCCGAAGACCTGGGCCGCTTCTTTCCACTCCTGCCCTTCACCTGCAGCCCGCTCCAACCAGGCCAGCTTGGGGCAGACCAGACTCCTCTCGCCTGTCCTAGGTCATGCTGGTGGGGGACTCAGGCGTGGGGAAGACCTGCCTATTGGTGCGATTCAAGGACGGCGCTTTCCTGGCAGGGACCTTCATCTCCACAGTAGGCATTGACTTCCGGGTGAGTGGAGGCCCCCGCCTGGCCCCACATCAGCCCACCGAGTCCTGCTGGCGTCCCCTGGCAGCCAGTTCTCTATTACCCCGTGGTACCGACAGGCTCAAGAGGCAGGAGCTCCCAGCGGGGCTACCTGGACCTCAGGTGGGACGCCTTAGCCACCAAGCTACCCACCTCGACCTGCAAACACTTGGGCTGGTGGCTGCACCTGACGAGCAATTCATTGCCCTGTGCCAGGGGCTGGCACTACACAGGAATCATATCCTGTGCCTTGGGGGAGGCAGATGCTGGTGCCCACAAGGTGGTGGGTCAGAGGAAGTCAAGGGTCATGTCCACCTGGGGCCAGTGGTACCAGAGGAGGCCTTGTCTGGCCCTACAAACACATGCTCCCTGCAGAGCCTGAGCTACGGTGTTTCCAGGGCTTGCTCAGGGGAAGATGACCCTGCCCTTGGGTAAGGAGGCCCCCGCCTCAGCCACCAGCCTGAATTCCTTGTGCTGAGGTGCTGGCGTGTTCTCAGCAAATCTTAAATTTGCATTTTTCTCACCCTTTAATTAGAGCCGGTTAGCGGGAGGATGGAGGGAAGGCTGTTCCAAGGGGCAGGAAAGGGGGCTCTCTCCAGGCATCCTCAAGTCCTCTTGGAGGGATTGAGGACTGAAGTGCCCCATGGGGGTAGGTAGGCCAGTCCTGTCTGGTCCTCACTTGCCCACCTCTCCCGGCTCTTGGGCGGGCGGTGAGAGGTGAGGCCATCTGGTTCGCACCCTTGTTCAGGGTGCCAGGGAAGGTGGTGTCCTCTCTGGCCCAGCAGATGGTCCTGCCTGGTTCCTGGGAGACTCAGAAGCACTCTGACAGCAACCTAGGCTGAGGGAGGTGGCAAACGTTCCAGTTGCCCGGGGCCTCAGAGTGCGGCTTGGAAGCCCCCTGCCCCCACCTCAGCAGATGGGACTGGGGCTGGGCCACTCCCTGCCTGAAGTCTAGCACTTAACTGGGAGGGTCCGACCGGGGACGCTGCCAGCCAGCACAGAGGAGCAATAGCTGCCAGGCAGTGCTGGGCTGTGTGGTTGCTGCCTGGGTTCAGACAGACCCAGGTCCAGCCCTTGAGAAGACAATCCCAGGCAAGAAGAGATTGCCTTTTGAGACAGGGTCTTACTCTGTTGCCCAGGCTGGAGTGCAGTGGCGATCAGAGGACTGTAGCCTCTAACTTTGGGGTTCAAGCCATCCTGAGAGGCTTTCAAATTAGCAAAAAGAGCTACTGGGGACGCTGAGGCATTGCAGCTTGTTAGTTACTGCAACAGCCATGTGGCTGGCCCCCATATGCAGGTAGGGAAACTGAGACAGTATCAGTGAGAGGCCTGGTGGGGTTCAAATAAGTCAGCACAAGAGGTTCTAAGCAGGACTCCTGCAGAGGCTGAGGGAGAGGTCTGCACTTGCAGGTGTGGGCGAGGCCGAATTGGCTCAGTGGGGCACAGGGAAGCCTGAAGGGGCTGGGCTGGACCTGGAAGGTCCTGGGGTATGGGAGGAAGGAGAGCCAAGAGGCTCTGATGGGGCGCGGGGTGGCTGTGAAGCTGGTGGGGACAGAGCTGGCTGGTTCTGTTTCAGAACAAAGTTCTGGACGTGGATGGCGTGAAGGTGAAGCTGCAGGTGAGGTGACTGGCAGAGGGCAAGCTGGGGGACAGGGGATACTAGCGAGGGGCTGGACAGCCTGAACGGCGCTTGTTGCTGCAGATGTGGGACACAGCCGGTCAGGAGCGGTTCCGCAGCGTTACCCACGCCTACTACCGGGACGCTCATGGTGAGCCCCTGGGCACCTGGGCTGGGGAGGGGGTCTGAGCACCTGAGAGTGCAGGTGATGGTGGATGTCCTCACTGCCCTGTCCCCAGCTCTGCTGCTGCTCTACGATGTCACCAACAAGGCCTCCTTCGACAACATCCAGGTCAGTGGCCTTCCTGGTGTGGTGAAAGGGCTCCAAAAGGGCCTGACCCAACAATAACCTCCTTCTGGTACAGATGGCATCAGGGTTCCGAAGGACCCTGCTGAGAGGCTCAGAGGGGGCATGACAAGTCTTCTGGGCTGGAAGTGGCTCAAGTGGACCCGGGTGCCATTCCAGCTCCCTCGGCGGGACTGTGTGTGTAAGGGACCTGTAAGATGGGTGCCCCTATGTAGTATACAGTGGCCATCACTTCTAAGCATAGGTATCCTGAACAGGTGTGGTGGCTCACCCGAGGTCAGGAGTTCGAGACCAGCCTGGCCAAACCCCGTGTCTATTAAAAATACAAAAATTAGCTGAGTGTGGTGCTGCACAACTGTAATCCCAGCCACTCAGGAGGCTGAGGCAGGAGAATCACTTGTTCCTGGGAGGCAGAGGTTGCAGTGAGACAAGATTGCGCTACGGCACTCCAGACTGGATGACAAAGCTCAAGACTGTCTCAAAAAAATGAGATAAAATGAAGACAGGTGCCCTCTATGGTATAGCCTGAAGGGTCAGGGTTCTGGGGCAGGAGGCCAAGCAGTACAGGGAGCCCCAGCCTGGTCTGCTGCCCCCCACAGGCCTGGCTGACCGAGATCCATGAGTACGCCCAGCACGACGTGGCGCTCATGCTACTGGGGAACAAGGTGGGAGGCCCCCTGGGCCTCAGGGCAGGTGGGGGGGCAGGGGCCAACCATGGGCCAGCTGTTAAAAAGACCCTGTGCCTGGGCCAGGTGGACTCTGCCCATGAGCGTGTGGTGAAGAGGGAGGACGGGGAGAAACTGGCCAAGGTGAGTCAGGGCTGGGGGTGGTGAGGGTGCTCCTGGAGGCTGTGGAGCCTAGGCTGTCCCCGCCAGGCCACCACCTGGCTGGCAGCAGCTGTTTACAGGAGTATGGGCTGCCCTTCATGGAGACCAGCGCCAAGACGGGCCTCAACGTGGACCTGGCCTTCACAGCCATAGCAAAGTAAGTCCTGGTGGTTACCAGGACTCCCCCAAGCCCAGGGCCTGAACCCTCTTATTGGAGTCCAGGCCATTGTGTCCCCTTGTTACCCCCACTCTGCAGGGAGTTGAAGCAGCGCTCCATGAAGGCTCCCAGCGAGCCACGCTTCCGGCTGCACGATTATGTTAGCAGGGAAGGTCACAGGGCTTCCTGCTGCCACCCCTGAACCTGGCTGAGCTCAGTCCTCCGGAGGAAGCTGCCCAGCCTCCAGAAAGCTGCAGAGGGTCTCCAGGCCCTTCTGACTTTGTTGCCCTGTGGCCAATGCTAGAGTGTTTCCAAGGGCCCCAGGTCAAGCCTTGCCCCTTCCTCCTCCCAGCAGCAAGCGGTCCCAACAAGCGGGCTTCTGAGAGCCCATGGCCTGGGCACTGGCTGCCACGGAAAAACGGCCTTCTGTAACGGTGCACGCCAAGTGGACAGACCTTGCCATGGTGCTCTGCTGCCCCCTCCTGGGCATGCCCGGTGAGGCTGGGCCAGGGCTGGCACTATGCAGTGCCTAACCCCCTAGAAAAGCCATGTGTTCACCTGCACAGCTGCTCAGGCACGTAAGGGAGGACGCCGCCTGGGACAGAGGGCTTCACTGCTAGTCACATTGTGCATCTGTGTGTCCTGGAAGCTGCTCCCAGCCCACCTTCTAGGAAGCTCTGGCTCAAACAGCAGCAGGGTCTTCCTCACTGACCTCGGGGGATGCCTGTGGCCTTGTGATAGAATGTGGGAAATCACATAAACGACAGAAAAGGGTAACTGCCAGCCTGGCCTGGCCACAGCTGAGGTCTGTGATTTCCAAGCAAGCTCCACCTTGCACTAAAGTTGGCTTTTTAACTGCAAGCCTTTGTTTTCAGTCCTAGTGAATAAAGTTGTGTTTTCTGGAGTGTCTGTTTCACCTGTTCTGTAATCCCAGCACTTTGGGAGGCTGAGGTGGGTGGATCACCTGAGGTGGGAAAACTGAGACCAGCCTAACATGGAGAAACCCAGTCTCTATGAAAAATACAAAATTGGCCGGGCGCCGTGGCTCACGCCTGTAATTCCAACACTTTGGGAGGCCGAGGCAGGTGGATCACAAGGTCAGGAGATAGAGACCATTGTGGTCAACATGGTGAAACCCCGTCTCTACTAAAAATACAAACACTAGCTGGGCATGGTGGCACATGCCTGTAATCCCAGCTACTCGGGAGGCTGAGGCAGGAGAATTGCCTGAACCCAGGAGGCGGAGGTTGCGGTGAGCCGAGATCGCGCCATTGCACTCCAGCCTGGGTAACAAGAGTGAAACTCCGTCTCGGGAGAAAAAAAAAGAAGAAAGATAAATACAAAATTAACCGGCTGTGATGACTGTACAGTAGTCCCAATGACTTGGGAGGCTGAGGCAGGAAAATCACTTGAACCTGGGAGGCAGAGGTTGCACCATTGCACTCCAGCCTGGGCAACAAGAGCGGAACTCCGTCTCAAAAAAAAAAAAAAAAAAAAAAATCACAGGCAGCAACAGTGAAGGCAATCCCAAAGGTTGTGAAGTCACTGCTAACATGACTTCTGTTATCACGTCTCTACACTTTCCCAAGATTGCCTGTGTATGAGTAAGACCCCTGGGGTGCAAGCATAGGGAATTAAAGACGTTGGAGAGAAAACTAAATCGACTTACTGCCTTTGTTTTATTGCTAAGCGCTTCAGATAGACACAGCGCCCACCTTACCACTAGGCCCTCCGGACTGAGGTTTACTTAGGTTCAAAATCTGCAGCCGGCTCACGATGAAACCTGTAAGACAGCGCCAAAATGTAGACATAAGTCCCCACTGTCCCGTTTCGGCCAACACCCATTTCCACTCCCAGCCCCTCCCCAACAGAATTGCGCACTCCCAAGCCTCAGTCTTGCAAAATAATCAGACTGCACATGCAGTTTTCATACGAGGTGTCAGAAGTCAAAGCAGTTCATCACAGGCTCGGAGAATAGGGGAACCCAAGCCTGGCCCAGTCTTACCTGCAAGGAGCTGTGGGTCTGAGATTCAGGAAGTAACGTTTAAACGCTCAGGGACAAAGTGGAGCGTAGGCCAGGGCTGGACGCCCGGGGACCTGGCCGACCTGCAGCGTTCGGCCGGCCCTCAAAGATACCTTCGTAGCCTAGTTCTCCCCTGGTTAGTAGCACATGGTATAACCAAACACACAGTCATACTGCCTCGCACTCGACCCCAAAAGAACGAACACGCGCCAGGCTCAAGCTTTTATAGAAACTGTCCCACCTCTGTCATTGGGCAATTCCTGGCGGAAGTGCCCGCCTTTTATTGCCGCTGATACGCTCCACTTCCTACCGTGTTATTTTCACCAATCGTACCTTGGCATTTATTTTGGAGGCGGTCTCTCGGACCCAGACCTGAAGTACCTCCCTTAATGCAGAGTCCGTGAAGTCTAATCGTGAGTGACGGATATGTATAGCCAATAAGACTTCGATCTGCAACATAGAGTGATTCTGAAGCCGCCAATCCCGCCCTGCGACGACTGGGCCGCCGGAAGTCGTAGTTTCGGAAATGCGGCGCTTGAGGCAGCTGCCCCGGACCCTTGAGGTGGGGAACTACAAGTCCCGGCGGGCGCAGCGGTCGGGCGCTTCCGGCTCGCTGGTCCCTTTCCCGGCCGGCGGCCGAGGGGGCATCATGAAGTGGGCTGGCAGCGCTGCGGCTCCCAGGCAGCCGCGGGCGGGTGAGTGTCCCCGCGACGCGCCCGGTCCGGGGCTCGCGCCTCGGGGCCGCGCGGTAGGGGCGGGATCTGGCGCGTCGAGGTCTAGGCGAGGCGAGGCGAGGCAAGGGATCGGGCCGGGGGGGCGGGGCTGAGACGGTCGGGGTCGGGGTCTGGGTCCGTGTCGCTGTCCGTCCGCCTGTCAGTTGTCTGTCGCTCGCTCCGTCCTGTCCTCGCGCGTTCTTTACTCATTCCTTCTTCCTGCATTCTCCGAGCCGCCCGCGTGCCATACACTGTTCTGGGCGCTGGAAGACTGCGGAGAAAATCGTCTCAGTTCTCCCGAGCTCGGCGTCTGCTGCAGGGTTCCCCAACCTCCGCACCATCGACCACGCGGCCCGGGTCGCTCTTTGCTGCGAGGGGCTGCCCTGAACATTGTAGGATGTGGAGCAGCCTGCCTAGCTCCTGCCTGCTAGATACCAGTAAACACCCCCACTTCCTCAGTTGCAATAACAAAAGTCTCCAGGCATTGGCAAATGTGTCCTGCGGGCCAACTCCCCCCGTCCCTAGTCTAGACAGACAGGGTGGAGGGATTGACAGTAGATAGACTCATGGGGAGCGGCGGTATATGCTGTGAAAGAAAGAAACAGGATGCTGAGAAAGTGAGTACTGGCCAGGGGTCGGGGCGGCGCTGCCGTTAGCCAAAGCCTGGTGGAGAAGCAGCCAGTCCTGGGACGTTGCAGGAGGAGCATTCCAGGCAGAGGGAGCCAGATGTACAAAGGCCTAGGGTGAGAAGGGGCCTGGCGTGCCCCAGCAAGCACTGGCAAGTGGAGAGGTGAAGTCGATGAGGACAGACCAGGTTCACAGGATGCCTGGCAAGTGGCGTGGAGGAAGAAGCGCTGGAGAGGCACTTCGGATCTAGGTCTGGTAAAGAGCTTTATGTGTGTGCACCAAAGACTTTGGAGTTCACTGGGGAAGCAGGAGAGAGGGAGGCTAGGGCATCCTCTCCTAGTCCCCACTGGGGTCCAGCTGTCATGGCATCGTTGCCTTGAGCCAGGCCAGAGTGGTCATCTGGGGTTGAGTCTGGAGTCAGCAGGGGCCTGCTGGATCCCATCCTGCTTTCGGAGTGGGGGGGCCTCTCACTTGCTGAGGAATTTCATGGCACCCCAGCCTGTATGCCCACCTTTCTCACTGCTCCTCTGACCTCTTCCTGGGCACTAGTGCTCGCCAAGGGAGGAGACTCCCTCTTCCTCATTCCTTCTCTTGGGGCCTCTCCCTTCCTAGACCCCTTCCCTGTGCCTCTGCCTCTCTATTGTGAATATCCCGACTTCACTGCTCTGGGCATTTATAGTTCTCTGGAGAAGTCCTGGGCCCCTCGTCCTGAGGGGGAGCAGTGCTTTGGGCAGCCTGGCCGAGGGAGGGGAGGGGCCAGGAGTCGGAACCCCAACTGGATGCCCCAACCTGAGGGTCTCTGATAAAGTGACTTTCTCTGTGGCTCACTGGTGCTGTCATATTTCTGGAAGTGAATGGAAAACTTCAGGGCCTTTGGTACTCACCGAAAAGTGCCTGTGGCAGATGGAGTGGCGACTGGTGGGACTCCTGCACGTCTGTCTGCCTGTGTCCCCCAGCAGGCTCCTAGCTCTTCCTGGGTCAGATTCGTGTTCAGCCATCACATGTCCCTACCCTCCCGCACGGGTCCTGGCACCCCGTGGTGTGACTCTCGGCCAGCTGGTTGGGCATAGGAATGAGTGATTTGGGGAAAGGAAGAAGGTGCAGTTGAAGGACCTGCTGGCCAGGAGACATGGGTAGCCTGGCCCTGGGATGCAGCCGCTCCCCGGCTTGGCATGGGACTGGTTCAGGTGCTGCCAGGGCTCCTGGATGTGTGGCAGCCATGGAGGAAGCAGAAGGAATGGGGCTCTGGTCACCACAACATGGACTGCTGGCTGTGTCCCAGGGTGGCCTCTCCGCCTTCCTCGGTCTCCATGGTCCACTCAGCAGAGCTGCCATCTGCGGTGCCTTCGCCTTCGCTCTTTTTTTTTTTTTTGAGACGGAGTCTTGCTCTCTCACCAGGCTGGAGTGCAGAGGCACAATCTCGGCTCACTGCAACCTCTGTCTCCCAGATTCAAGCGATTCCCCTGCTTCAGCCTCCTGAGTAGCTGGTACTACAGGCGCATGCCACTACGCCGGCTACTTTTTTGTATTTTAGTAGAGATGGGGTTTCACCATGGCCAGGATGTTCTTGATCTCCTGACCTCATGATCCCACCTCAGCCTCCCAAAGTATTGGGATTATAGGCATGAGCCACTGCGCCTGGCCAATTTTTGTACTGAAAGGAGAGGCAGGGTTTCACCATCTTGGCCAGGCTGGTCTTGAACTCCCGCCTCGTGATGTACCTACCTTGGCCTCCCAGAGTGCTGAGATTACAGGCCGCCCAGCTGTGCCTTTACTCTTGACGGGTGCATCTTCCCTCGGCTCCTTCCAGATGGGGGTCCGGCTCTACTCCGTTCTCTCTCTCGAGAAGCCTGAGGCCCGGGAGGGGGGCAGCTTGCCCAGACACAGCTGTGAAGTGGCAGAAGTGGAATCTGAACCAAGCTCTGTCTGAGCCCAGTGCCCGGGGCCTTGTCCATGGTGTCACACCGTCTCCCTGACAGACACCCTGCTGGGTCAGGGAGGGCAGGTAGGGAAGGCCAGCACATGCCCGGCCTGAGAGCTGTTGTGGGACTTCACCAGACACTCGGTATGGCTCATGCAGGAGGAACCTATGGAGAGGGACCCACCAACCCCTTGGCCTTCGATAGATCCCCCCGCTGTCTCCAGCCTTGCTCCCTGGAGGAGGGGGGGTACAGCCAGGTGGGGCAGGTGAAAGGGGAAAGTGGACACTGGGGGCTGGGGCTGTTCACGTGCAGACCCGGACACCCCCGGCTGGAGGAGGCCAGCTGCCTGGGAACTCGGAGTGGAGGTGACCCAACCCTAGAGGCACCCAGGTGGGAAGTGGGGGGCAGCTACACAGAGGCCCAGGACTGAGGGGCATGGGACAGTGTGGGGAAGGAGGGGGCAGTGCAGCTGGCATGAGGGCGCTGGGTGATAGCATGGGTCTGGTGGTCTCTGCCCTCGTGTTCCTGTTACCTCTTTGGGTCCACATCTGGCCAGTGTTTGTGTCAGCTCCCCGCTGCTGCAGGGCAGAAGGAAGGAGGGAGCCTGAGAGACCGAACCACACAGGAAGCAAATGAGAACACAGCCCAGGACTGGGGTGCGTGGGCTGAGCGGGGGCACTACTGGCCCTTGGCTCTTGGGCAAAGCTCATGACCTGTTTCCGAGAGTCCGAGGCCCACGTGATTTGTATGAGAACCAGAAACACACTCCCCAGCTCAGCTGGCTGAAGCTGCCTCTCTTCCTGTGTCCCAGAATACTCTCCCCACTCTGGATCCCAGTAGCCTCGTCCTCCAGGAAGCCCTCTGGACTTCACCAGATCCCCACACAATAGACAGCCATGAGATAGGGGAAAAAAAGGACTGAGAGATGTTGCCAGCTCCCAAGGGGCTGGAGGGGCAGCAAAAGGCATCCTTACTGTGAAGTCAGGGTAAAGCCTTGGCCGAGCTGGGGGCACCTCCTCCCTGCAGCAGAGGGAGCTGTGGACGCTGGATAGGCTTGGCCAGGGAAAGACAGGCTTGGAGGCTGGGTGGATGCGCTAGAGACAGAGCTGGGGGAGGAGTTCAGAGGCCTCTGCAGAGCTGGGGCTGTGGGTGTGGTGGGCAGGGACAGGCAAGGGGGGCAAGGTCCTGGGCCTTGGTGCTAAGAGGGAAGGGAGGTCGGAGTCGACCTCAGACCAGGGCCTGCTGGGGTTCTGAGGGTATTCTGAGGACCAAGGCAGGCAGAGGCCAGGGACACCCCAGGGGCCTTCAACATCACACCCTGCCTATTTGGGATGGAAAAAGCGTTCTAAGGGACGGCAGGGAACAGCTGCGGAAGTGCGTGTGGCTTTGCTATGGCAACCAGGACTGTTTCTACAGAATTCAGCGGCCTGGGCTTGGGCCAGGGGACTGAGGCAGGGGCCGGGCTGGGGCGGGCAGTCTGTGGGTGCCCTGGGTGGGCTCTGTGATGCCAGGGGCCGTGCTGAGAGCTCTGGCTGCAGTCCAGCCACACATAGTCCTGTGGCAGACCAGGCGGAGACTTCTGGAACCATCCCAGGCTCTTCCCAGGGCAGTGGTAGGCCTGACGGGCACACCCATCCCCTGCTGGGTTCACACACGTTCGGGGGACCCCCACACCCCACCTGCTCCAGGTTGCTGGAGGAGCTACTTTAAGGCCAGGTCTGGCTCCAGCAGGGAGCTACATCTGGAACCCCCAATTCCCCCACTCAGCAGGGTCCCCCTGGGCTGCTGCCAAGTGGGCAGGGACCCCTGACTCAGACCTCCTCCAGGTGTGTCTCTGGGGATAGGGGTGGGGGTTCACATCCCACATGCCCCCAGGGCAATGCCCCAGCAGAGCCCTCCAAGCCCAGCTTGGGGGTTGCTGGGGAGGGGCTCCTGGGGAATTTGCTGAAGCGGGTCTGGGGTGGAGGTAGAGAGGGGCTGAAGAAGA